ATCTCATGCCTCAACTTTTGAGCTGTGTGTGCCATCCGTCCCTTCCAAGGGTTTATACATCCCAATTATAATCACACAGTTTTTCGAATCGAGTCATCAACAGGCATACAGAAACATAAAGCCTCAATGTCTTCCAGAAGAGGTTTCAGACATCTGGACACCGAAGCGTGTGTGCACCCCGGCCTGCTTCTTTCCCTCGAGAAAGCGCGAGAAGTGCGCAAGGACCATGCCAGGGCGCGATAAGCCAGGGTTTAGGGTTTCGGGTTCGGGGCTTATGGCCGGGCGTGCTGTTCGCACTCCGCAGAAGGACATCAGACGGGATGTAGCTCTTGGAACTTAGGTGGTCCGATGAGCATGATACCACTTTAATGCAATGTCCTTGCTCCCACGTCTGTCTCTGTCCTTCTCATACTCTTACTGTGGGTACTTACCTAAACTCATCACTGGTAACCTGACCTGGTTGCTTCAGCATGTGGTGCCCCGTCTTCAAGCACACTGCAGGTCTGGTGCCTACCCATTAGAGGGTGCGTCATGGTGCGTAGACCTTTCAGTCCCTCCTAAGGCGTCAGTGCCGGAAGACAGGCGTCGAAGCAATTTCAGCAGCTTGGATAGTGGTTGTAGGGTTTTTGCGGTTCTCAGGCTCAGGAGTCTGAGGGTGTTAGGTGGTGTTAGGGTGAGGGTTTCGCGAAGAGCTTCAAACTCCCGTGACTGGGCAAAACACCACGAAGCTGATTCATCTGATGCGCAGGCTCGAGAAAGGCAGCATGAACTCAGGGTCAGAGTATATTGCCTGCCCAAATACTTTGGCTGACTGCCCTGAAGGCAAGCTCTTCCTGGATTCCTCCGATAGGGTTTAAGTTTAAGGGTTTAGGGTTCTTGGGTTTAGGGTTTTTGGGGTTTAGGGTTTTAGGGCTCCATGACTTCCGGAAAGCATCTCACCATCTGACTTGAACAGCATCGGAAACTCCCGTCCTAGCGCCAGCGCTCCAACTCACCCTGACCTTTCCAAAGTTCTGGTAAAATAGGCACAGATCATGGAGCCTCGAGCACTAGCAGAGTGCGAGGACATCTCCGAGAACCTCCGACCTTAATCCTAGTCTCGGAAGCCTTGAAGACCTGGCGGTTCACGTTGGCATGAGTCAGTACGTGGCAGCAAGCACAAATCAAGACTTGGATGCAGTTCGGAGCATTTTTGCGTGGCGGCTCGAAGTGCAAGCAGACTTTGCCCCTTCAGATGGTTGAACAAATGTAGGATTTGTAGGACTTCGAACTGCGATTGGAGTCTGAGTCTGAAGACGGACTGGAAAACACCAGTTCAGGATCTGTAGGATTCCTGAAACTTCGTGGCTCATTCCAAGCCCCACATCATGGACGTGGCGATAAACTGAGCGGACCTGAGTCAGACTTAACCAGTTGTCGCTGTCATTGCTCTCTTCTGGGTTTGGAGTCGGGTCGTTCTGTTTTTCCCTTGGGACTTACATCCGAATGTAGGTTGAAGGGTTAGAGTGCATTGCACTTGCGGGGGCTTGCCGAAAAAAGTGGAGGAAGGTTCCATGTTGAGGAAACCTTAGGGCCTTAGGGGTTGGCTGAGCACAGCGCCGATGCTCACTGTCACTGGGCACCTCGCTGCTCCTCCAACAAGAACGTCAAGGACGCCTCTCCAAGGCTTCAGCGATTCCGAATGAAATCAAGGATAACGGCTCGGCTAAACGGAGTTGTCGGAGCCAGGCATCATCTAACAGCCTTGATCATTAGAACAGGATTCCTTTGAGCTCCTTAGCGTCAGCATAATACAATAGACCTCAAAGCTTTTTCGACTCTTTATCGCCCCTCTGTTGAGCAGCTTTGAGATGGGAGCCAGGAACAGTGGAAACCAAGATCTCGGAGGCCTTACGCAGAAGCCACTTTCGTTGAAAGCAATCCAGGCCGTCGAAGACATTCCTGGCAGGGCTTATCTAGTATGCCGTGCCATGCTATATAAGTACACATACCATACTATACTATTATACTCTGTTACATACTCTACTCTACCCTACTATACCAAACTATGCGCTATACTATGTACTAAACTATATACTGCAACATATTATACTGTGCTATACTATACAATGCTATGCTATTGTACTCCGCTAAATACTATACTATGCTAGACGTTACTATGTTATACTAAGCATAAGAGAGTGCAATATCATGTAATATCATACAATAGAACGTGAAGCAATAGGCTTGCCCCCCCCTCCACACGCCGGCTATTCGACCACAGGTCTCGCATGAGGGTATTTGTAGTGCTGAGGATGCTGGCGCAGCTTGAGTAGTAGCTAAGCACTCCAGATTCAGCCAAAGCAACCCTGTTAACTTCTTTCGATGATTCGAAGTCGGAAATCAACGAACAGAAGTACGATTCTCTGGCTTGGTCGTATGATTTTTGCATGGCTGAGGGATGCTAGTAACATGAAGACAAATGCGACGACATTCCCTTGGGCCTTCCGGATAACCGAACCAAGCCGTAGGCCAGGGCGCAGGCGCAGCGGACCAACGGCTGATGATACATGGAGTCACCTCGGTGGATACGGCTTGCGCAGTAGCGAACTCTTCGTATCCCTCACACTCTGCTGCTAATTCTAGCACTTACATTCAGTATGATGATGACGAGGGTGGTAGTAGTGGTTGCTATCGCTTTGTCAGTGACCTTCGTTGTTAGGTGTGCCAGCTACTGCGGGCAAATCTTCACTGTAGTACATTGCATCACCAAATCTTCGAAATTCCTGCTGTCTGTTTCATCAGTTGACACTTCTCAAGCATCTCTGTTTGCGTTTTGCTTATACATGATTCTTGTTCTTTCGCGCTTCACTATTGCTAGCAGTACCAGTGCTCTTCTAGTTGGTCTATGGTGTTTCTTGTTTATCTTAAGACCGAGGCGACAAGGATGATGTCTAATTATCACCGTGATTGCAAACACTCCTTCGTGGTATGGGCAGCAGGTGGCACAGGCAGTAGTAGAGTAGTAATCCTTGTCCTCGTGGATAGTAATAGATAGTAGAACTAGTGGTAAGCAGTAGTATATCATCTATACAGTAGTCGCGACCTCCTCCTCCTCCTCCTCTCATCTCCTCTGGCTCCTCCTCGAGTTGCGGTCTTCGGGCTTCAAGTTTGCAAAGGAAGGGCCGACCCAAGGGAAGGGTGGCATCCACGGTATGGGCTTCAATTTCATTCATGGGCTGGCTGACGGCTTAGGATTGACGCCCCGTCGGATTTGCAGCGGTGTTCAGGGCTATAGGGATGCGCCCTTGAACACATCACGTTGCGCTCAAAACTAGCCAGGAAATACCAGAAGCTTCGACAGGCAGCTGTAGAAAGTCTGCTTGGACTCACCGGCACGCTTCAGATGCAGGTTCCTGAGCATCGGCTGGCGAAAGCATTTAGCGACCTCCCTCCTGTACGAGGACTTGAGCCCCTCCTTCTACTAACAAGCCCTCTCCGGACCTGAATCTGACACGGGCAATCTCTGCAGCTTCCCAAGCGCCGGGGTGCTGCATCTTCCGGGCGAAGTCGCGGTCGAAGACCGCGACGCCGACCTCGAGGTTCCGGCGCGCGGAGTAGAGGTCGAAGTTGAAGGAGCCAATGGTGGAAAAGACCCCATCCACACACATGTGCTTTGCATGCATGTGGCGATGGCCATACAAGTGTACTTTGACTTGCTGGCTGGGGGTGTCGCGCAGGAAGTTCCGCAAGAAGTGGGTCTGTGCCAAGAGGTCGCCCGGGAGCGGGTAGAAATCCGAGGAACCGGAGAGAAGCAGCGAGAGCCGGGCTCCTCGAGCTGGGACCCGGAGGAGCGCATTCTTCAGAAACCCAGGCGGGAAGAAGTAGGCCGTGGTTAACAGCACCGACTCGTCGGCCGCGTCGATGCTCTTCTCAATGACCTGGAGGGGTGACTCCTATGTTAAACTATCAAAAAGGAAAAATAAATATACATATCTATATATATATATACACTCTATATTTTATTATATAGTATGTAGCTGATTTCAGTATCTTGCATTGTTGTACAATGTATTACAGTATATTATATTACATCAGGTTACACTATTTTACGATATATTACATGATATCATATTATCTTACAGTATTTGCTTGATTATATCATACTATGTTACGTCATGCCTGCTACCCTCCAGGCAGTGTTGAATGTACAGAAACTTCCGAGGTCCGACGATGCTACAACCAACACATGACCGCAGTCTGTACATTACAGCATCCTGATTTTAGCACTTCAGACGTTCGGACCCCAATATAGACCCCAAGTAGTAGGTCCCTAGTATAAGATCCTGCTCATTACAAGAACCTCCCCTCCCCCCTCAAGAAACACATCCCCAATTCCAAGACTGCCCTGAAATCATCCTTCACATCCAAGCCTTCTGCAAAGTGCGGCGGCGCTGCCGCACATTGGACTGCAGAATCTGCACGTAGACCCCGGGCTCCTTCCTTTCCACATTGAGGGTGGTTGTTGATCGGCTCTTCTCCCTCTTTAAGCCTTTAGGGTTTACGTTAGTGTGCATTCGATAAGGTTACAGGTGGTCTTCGTGCGTCTGTAGGCATGGAGAAAGGAGCTCATGGATAGTCACATAGTCTCCTCTAGTGTTGGCGGCATTACTTTCGGATCTGCCGCTCTGGCTGCGTCGTTCGGACAGTGAGTCTTTCCCTATCTTTCCCTAGATGTGCACTTGAGACCTTTTCGGTGCAGCCACTCGTCTTTGCTACACGGAGCAGACAGCACTGGCAAACCCGTCCCAAATGTCAAGCTGCCTTGGAGGCGGCGCGATAGAGTTCCTCATGACACGTCCACCGGCTTCATGAAGTGAATCGCGAAAGACCTTTGCATTTAGGGGCTGTTGGTTAGGGCTCCGTGGGCCGGTTGGGGTTCTTCTGGCTTCTTGCTGGCTTCAGAGGGGCCATTCATTCTACCCGCTAGCCGGTAGACCCGGACCTCGACAGCTTGCTCCCTGCCAGTCCGGAAGCTCTCAATTAAACCCATGTGCAAGCCCAACTCCGGAATGTAGGCTTCCAAAACCTTACTATTCCCATGTTTCTGGCTATTGGCTGTAATCCGAGAGTAGGATTAGACTTCTCAGATGCTAGTTAGGATGTGATGGCTGCTGCCTATGTTTACCATCTCGTTGACGGCATGGTGATCGCTCCTAGCATTACGGCACTCATCTTCTTCGGATTCCGGGGGCCTCAGCAAGGTCCGCCACACAGGGGCCCTCGAGCTTCGAATGCACATCGTAGAAGCGGCTCGTGCCAAACTCCTCCTCTCCGACCTCCTCCTTACAGATCATGGGGGCTGGTCCTCTAAAAGGGTCCCTTTTTTAGGTCCGTCCGTACGAAGGAGTGACCGGAGACCTGACTATTGTGGTTTCGGACTTCCGGTTCAGGGTCGAGGGTCAAAACGACGAACGCCTTGAGGACAAAGCGGTGCAATCTTCCGCGTGTAGGATTTGGACTAGTGGTTTAACATGTGGGGGCTTCCACAAGCTTAGAGGGAGGGGTCCTTATGATAAAGACCGAACTGCTAGGTTCCTCTTTCTGCAACAAATTGCGACCCGGGCTTGGTAGGTGCATCATGGTGGTAATATAATATTGGTCCAGTAAATCCCGATTTGCAGCCATCTCCAACCTATTTTATCTTGACGAAGGCTTTCCCCCACACTCCCAAGCACATCCAAAAGTCCAAGTGCACAGGTAATTGCAGATATGGTATTTGGTGATATTCGGAGGTTGTGGTGTTCTCCTTGGAATTGCCTAGAAATGGTGTCTACAGCTTTGACTTCTTACAGGGAAAGCTCCTGTATGTTCATCCCACCACAGAAGCCCATGTCGTCACAGACCTCGGCCGTTCTCGTAGCTCAGGGCTTGACAGGGCTTAGAGCTCTGGCACCAGTAATTTTCGAGTCCTGGGGGTATCCTCTCAGGCGTTGGGAACGAAGGATCAAGATCTATCCAAGAAGTCCCAGACACCATGATCTTGCGGTGGTCCCGGAAGGAAAGGGGTCCAACGCAGTAGTTGGAAGGGAGAACCGGGTTGAAGAAGACCTGCTGCACTTGGTTTCATGCAAGGAGCAAGCTGCCCACAGGAAATGCAAACTTCGAAACCGAAACATCACAGATTTCCTGTAAACACCCGCCCCCCCTGGCCCACCACGTCCGCACCGACGCTCCGAAGCTCCCGAACCCAATCGTTCCGCAAAGAGAAGGATCCGATGTAGTCCACCAGTAGCACAACCTCGGCAAAGCAAAGTCTGTGGGACTCCTAGAAAGGGATGGAACTGGAAACCCTAAACCCTAAACCCTACACTGGCAGGTTGAAGAGGAAAAAATCCGAGAAGCATCCAGCCCTCGGAGAGCGGCATCGCGCAGTGCGGTGAAGAAGGTCTCGGCGACATGGCCTCGGTCCAAAGCACCGGGGTTCGGATCAGGGCTTCCGGAGACTTAGAGCTGAGGTCCTTTTTCTTGATCTTCCTTTCGATTTCTGGCCATGGCTGAACCTCTCTGTGCACCGACAGCCTTGTCTGAACCCTCCCCAAAATCCAGAAATGCCGCAGATCCAATCGTTCCCTTGGAACCTTTTTCCACGACCAGTGGCTGTTGTCAAAGATGTAGCTCTCACACCAAACGCGTGTCTGCGCCATCGCTATGACCTGTCTGGCAGGAGCCAGGATCTATTGACAGTTTTTGCAGGGTGCACTCTGTGCGCAAAGCTTCAGAGAGAACTTGGGAAGATGGCCACGAAAGCAGGCTTCGGGCCAGGAAGCGTAGCAGGGAAAGGGTGCGGCGACTCGAGTCAAGAGAATGTATTGCAGGACGGAAGCGATGAGAGAGAGCGACAGAGAGAAGGAGAGAGCCGGTGAATGATGGGGCATATGGGTTTTGTTCTGCATGAGCAGCGAAGACTAGTGACTAATGGTATCACAGCGAGCCCTTTCCCTGTAAAACCTGAGGGCTTACACCTGCAAAGCTTAAGCAACTGAACCCCCAACAGCCTGCAGTCTTACATCTTGCAACACCACAGCCCCTGGTTGAAATAGCCCCACCGCATATCTGAAGTTGAGCTAATATGAAGTTCACAACATGTTGCGGCACCTGGAGCATCGCTCGGAAGCACTCATCTCCGCCCTCCAGGACCGTCACGCGGTTGCCGGTGGAAAAGTGGCCATACTTTTGGAACCTCCCGGATCGACAGTCAGTGCTCAATCCTTACAGAAGGCTAGATTAGATCCACACCTGTATATACCTTGTTTGTGCAGAGGCACAATCAGACAACGTCAGCATCCTTGTCTTCAATGCAACGCTGCTACCACCTCCATCGCCGCCGAAACCCCCATCATAACCATCAGCATCGGCAAAACCAGCGTGATCGGGATCACCGTCGGTACAATCATGGTCATCCACACAATCATCATCGTCAACAGCAGTTTCGTATCATGCCAAGCCATACCATATCATACCAGCAAGTTAACATGCTACGCCATATCACATCCGATCATCATGCTCTGCCACGTCATCTCATAGCATAACATACCCCATCAACTAATGTCATGATGATGGTGATGTTGTTGATGATGATGATGACAACGCCCAAACCCTAAAACCACAAACAAACAAAAATGACTTTCACCACCTTCCTTAGTCCTTCGTTCCCGGGCGCTTCCGAAGTAGCTCGAGCCACCGCTGCTTCCGCAGTCGCAGGCAGGATTCGGACTCTTCAGGAAAGTTCCTGGAAGTGTTTAGGTTTAGGGTTTTGCAGGCTTTAGGGGAAAACATGTGTGTGTGTGTGTGTTTTTTTCCGGTCCCTGCGGGACGTAGGGATGTTGTTGTTCTAAAGGGTTTACAGTTGGGTTTGTACATCAGGGGTTCAGTCGGCCACTGTAAAGAAACAGGGCCCAGACATCATGATAAGATGACCCAGTCTCAGAGAGAGCTGTCATTGGGCAGCGGGGAGTCCGTGAGTCACTGTCTAGGCGGCAAGGCCAAATAGGCATAGCAAAGCCGCGCGAGTCAGAAGGGATGTCAGCTGCAGTGCCTTGCTAGTTCTCTCAGAAAGAACAAGTTCCAAGCAAAAAGCAGGTCGTCCTGTGCGAAAAGGTCGACTCGATGCATGCACGGAGCTCTTCGACGGTGTCCTCATGAGCTGCAGCTGCTGCACTCGAAGAATGTACCGTTTGTACCGGGGTCTTGTGAAATGGGACCCCGACCGCTGCTCCAGCGATGGTGCCCGTACAAAACTTATGGCTTCTGGACAATGTGATCTCAGAACAGCGTCTATAGACTGCGAGACAGGAATACACATGGGATCAGGGCAAGATGTAGAAACATCAAAAGCTGGGTAGCCTTCTTGTGTTTCGCACCGAGCCAACAGTGAACTTATACCATACTAGTAGAAAAGTCCTGGTCAGCGGAGGGCTCCGTGCTCAGCGAATCTCGCAGCCAACGGCCATAGCGCGTGATGCTTCCCATGCAGAGCTTGCTGGATATTTACACTCGGAGCAGTGCTGAAGAGCCGCTGTTTGGTGCAAAGTGTGAGTCTAAACTTTAAACTATCGAAAACTCTGAAGAACAAGCTTTTCTAGGTTAGGTGCGGGCTAGGGTCTTTTGAGACTTGCTGAAGCAGGCTCATAGCCAAGTTGGAAGCGTTGTGGACTGGGGCATCAAAGTCAAGATGTGTCTCTGAGTGTGAGCACTTTATATTTTAACTATAAGATAAGACAAGATAAGATCATATAGTATAACATGATATAACATGCTATAAAATATCATAAAAATATACCGTAAATTTTATATAAGGCCGAGGGTGGAGCCTCGGGTGAAAATGGTCTACGCGCAGTGTGAGCTTCCAAGTGACTGGCCGCCCAGACGCCTCGAGACGTAGCAAAGTGGATCTTGAGAATCTCATGGCTGCAATTCAACAGACGGAAAACCGCACACTTAATACGACGGATTTTAAGGTTTAGTGTTTCGGGCCTGGACCCAAACCGTAACCCGGAGTGACCGAACACGTACGTGCTGAAAGCGGCCGGGTCCGGATTTTACAGGGGGTTTGGATCGGGCTTGAGTCCAAATTCCCACGCTGGCACAATCTGTTGAGAGAACCGATCTCGGAGCCACTCGGGCGACAAGCTTGGCGGAATCTTTCCCGCGTCTCTGCATATTGCTTTAACGCCAAAGCTATGTGCAACAGCACGTCCAAAGGCACAGTCTTGAGCCATCCTATGGGCGCGAATCCAGCATCTGTACATTGAGTTTAAAACTGTGTCAGCGGTTGCAAACCGGTCATTCCTTGTCGAGCACGGCGACAGGACTTGCTCAATCCTTCGAGTGTTGAGCTGCTTAAGATCACCAACCGAAAACCCGCACTCGCAAATTGGTTCAACGTTCGTTAGCTCTTCCTGCCTGAAGGAATCATGTGAACGCTTGCTGGCTTACGACTTTCGGGAAACGAGTTGCAATTTGCCCGATTTGATTTAGTGCTGAGCCCGGCCGATGCCTCATACCTGATCGGAGCGTGCACCTTTATGTGCAGTTGCCTATTTTCAAATCGCGCGAGATCCTGTCCTTTACAACGCTCGTTTGTTGACCCTGTCTCCTGAAATCTTGTCGCCTCGACTTTGCCTGAACCGTGTCGTGACTTTTCGGAATGATGAATCCCGTATATGGGGATTTCTTCGATTAATGACTACTAATGGGCTCCTATGTGTGGTCCCTGTATTGTTAACTCCTCCAGTCCTGACTCCGAGCCACGGTCGTGGTCATGACGCAACCACAAAGAATTCATCACTCTGCGGCGTCTGCAGCTTGCTCGTCTCCAATCGCCGCCGAGTTGTCCTGAAATCTGCGGCAAGCTTAGGCTTAGGGTTGTATAATCTTATATATCAAAACCAGGTCTATGCAGCAGCCGGAGTTTAGGAGAAGAGTAGCTCCGGCGCCTTCACCAGCTCGACCTCCGCATCGCGGGCCTTCGTCATTGCACACGCCCGCATCAGCAACAGCAAGAACAACCACGACAACGACGACGATGACGACGATGAGAATGATAACGGCAACGACGAGGACGACGACAACCGACAACGACAACCACGACCAGGACAACTAACATCGAAAGACAACAAGCAATCCAACAAGCAGCACACCAAGCAACACGCAGCAAACACCCAGCAACAACCCCCGAGAACAAAAACACAAACAAACAAACAAATAAACACCAAACAACTAACACTGCAACCATCGCCACCACCAGTCCCGGATCGCAACTGGCGCCAGCACCAGCACCAGCCGGAACTGCCACCACCAGGGTCACCACCAACAACGACGACAACAACAGCAGCACTGCGCCCTCGCGTATTGTAGCCTGTCTGTGTTTAGTATGTCTGATTTCATATTTGCTGCCTTTAAAAAACTTGTATCGGCGACATCCAGCTGTATGCGGACAGTGCAATGTCAATGACATAGCGAGACAGGTTACACAGGTGAGGAGTACGCATCATCGCTGCACTGATCTTAAGTTGCCCGATCTCATACTGTCCCCTGTGGAGACATGGGACTACACGTTCATGAACATCATGCACTGATGAAGCTTGTGTCAAGTCTTGCTCTCTATGTCCGTCCAAAAAGGGTACGGCACATCTGCACAAAGACTGCTAGTGGGCGACAACACAGAGTCAGTTCGGACGGGTTGGCACAGCCGAGGCTCGTTTTGACAACTCTTGACTGCTTTGCCTAAACTCCCAAAATTTTCTCACGAAGAACCCGGTGGCTTTGAAACTTAAACACCCGCCGCAACCTCAGGTCATGAAATTCCGAAATACCAACAAAAACACAATGATGACAGTGGTGACATTGCTCATTGTCATGACCCAAGATCCCGCGCGGAATTCAAACCCCCTAAACCCTAGGCCACTAAACTTAAAACCCCTCAAAACCAAAACCTCTTCAATCAAAAAACCCGAAACCGTCCAAAGCCCCTTCAACCCTCGAAGGCACCTGGGACTGTGAGTTCGCCCCGGCGCGGAACATCGGAGCGCGGGCTTCTCGACCGAAGTCCCTGCAGACACTCGAAGACGAGGATTTAGGGTGAAGCGCTTGGGGCTTAAGGTTTAGGATTTACGGTCGTCCAAAGGTGGCAAGTAGTTGCAGTTGCCGTAGTCGTGGCAACAACATCAGCGGTAGCAGTAGTAGTGTCAGTCAGGATGACTGATGAAGAAGTTGAAGATATGATCGTGATAATGATGAGTGCTGTCATCAACTTCTCGAGGCATCACACTTACGGTGGAACTCAGCTTCTCGTGTCCCAGTCTTCAGGAGGTCTTTCAGAGTCAGCACTGTTGCTATCGTTACTCGAATTATGTTCACCCCAATTATGTTGGAATCCGATGGGACTTCTCGTAAGATGGTATAAAGTATAAATATGAATAACTACGACAAATCCTCTCTTTGTCGTTCTTGTTCTGAGCCTCCTGACATGTTGAGATTTGGACAAAAGAACCGGACGAGGTGTGTTTGTCTCGAAGACGTGGAACCTTTCTGCTGCCTCACTGAACTAGAACAAGAACAAGAGCAATCAACAAACACAATCATCTCCAAGAGCTACAACAGGCATGACAGAAACCCTAAACCCTAAGCTCCTAAGGCCACAGGATCCCATTTAACTGCCGAACTTCCTGACAGCGCCTGTCTTCCAAGTCTTCGACGTCCAGCGGCCCTCGGACAGGCGATGGCTGCGGTCTTAAGCCGAACTACGAAAGATAGCTCTTTACGTATGTGTATGTATAAATAAATAAATAAATATATATATATATGTGTGTGTATATATATACATATGTGTATATATATGTATATATATATATGTATATATATATATATGTATATGTATGGCAATGTGTGTGTGTGTGCGTGCGTGTGTGCGAGTGTCAGCATGTAGATTACAGATAGAAAGATAGTGCAAGGGCGGTAACCAATCGGTCCACCGTTTCTGCTTCATAAACCCCTACCGCGGTCTCACTTCCCCCGCTTCACTTCGACAGTTCTCCTTTCATTCTGTGGTTTCTGTCTCCTCTCCGTTTCGCGGCTTCTACTTGGATTCTACTCTCTCGACAATACACAGCGCATTCACATCGACAACCTTCCGCGAGCATTGCAACCCAAACAACAAATTCAACAATGACACAATGTCGCAAAAAGATCTGAAAGGATTCTGCATGTAACCAAGACTTCGCCAAAACTAACCGAGATTTCCATGTGTTCCGTTGTTCTGGGAAATGCAAAACGACTACGAAGCAGTAATTGCTGTGAAACAGCGTGCGTTTAGACGACACATGACGAAATCCGCGGTCTGTAACTGGCTTGCCATAGTTGGAAACGAAAAACACATGGATGAATGATGGGATTTCTATTGGTGTGAGCCAGAACTGTCTCAACGAGCTATGAATTACAGACCCTACTTCCGATTAAATCGGAACACAGCAGATATCAGGAAATAAACGGCCTAGGCCTAGACCCATCAAGTATGGGGGCCTAAACGCTTAGAATCTAGAATAAGGTTTTGGGGCATACGGCGCTGTAGACTCCAAGGGAATAGTATTGCTTAATTCTGTTGATTTTTGCATTCACGGTTTAGGGACCTGACCCGACTTATCGACAAGGAATCGGAGAGGCTGACGGCTGTTGGTTTCGGCTGTGTACGTGGCTTAAGCGATCCATCCAGGGTTGTGTGGCTCCAGCGGATGAAGAAGGGACTTCCCCAAGCTTAAACGAAACATCCATGGGGGCATATACATATGTCAACTTATAGAATGTACACACACACATACAAACACATATATATATATACACACACGCTACATCTATGTTATGTGTGTGTAGAGGCATGTAACATGTAAGACTATGCAAAATAGGAGTGTGTAGCTTGCACATATGTAAATGATCTTCCTGGATCCTGCAGCCCTGGCTTTCGGGCTCTTGACTTCCAGAAGCAAGGGTCCTGGGCTCAAACATTGAAGATGCCATTCCCTGGAACTCACCGTTCAACGTCTCCGCTCCTTTCTGCGTGAGGCGTGCGGATCCAGGTTGCCGATTGCTGGCGTTCGGAAGGGATGGATCACCTGGCCACCCTCTTACTTGGCCAATGCACGGAGTGGGAGGTGTGTGAGTTGATGGCGCATCTGGTCCTCCGTTCCCCTCAAACCGCGGGGCAACCTTCCGATCCGAGCCGCGCTCCGAGCTGCTCACGGCTGTGTGCACTGGGTGTTTTTAGCGGCACCCAAGAGCCACCGAACACAGGCGGCAAAGCCCCAGGGTGCGTCGCTGAGCTTGAAATCTTCGGCCATGCCTTGAGTCAGAGGGTCGATGTAGTAGTTGTGGCTTGGGGTGCGCCCCACCTCGTCCTCGGTGAACATGTAAAACCCAGAGCCATCCGGCTGGATGCAGTTGTTACTACCACAGTCGTAGCCAGAACTGCTGACACACTTGATTCGGGAGCCATAATGCCGATCTTCGCTGCCAACGGTGATTCGTCGTTTGGATCTCTCCAGCTTGAAGTCGTGATTCATTAAGCACTGGCCCTCGAAGAGTAAAGAACCTGCGATGGAAAGCGCAGCTGAAACATTGGCATTGAAGTTCCGCAGCTTCAAAGCTATTTGGCCGCCCAAGCTGAAACCCACCACGGCTACCCCCAGAGCACAGTTAATGCCAAGGTCTTGCCGGTCGCAAATTTGGCGCAGGCCCTCGCCGACTTGCCGGCTTCGGTGATCAAAGTCGCCGCAGCCTCCCGGATAAGCCTTGTTGGTATATTGGAGGGGCAGCGCTGCGAAGCCACTCTCGGCTAAGTAGCGGCATGCCTCCACGCCGAAGGCGTCGTTGTGAGCCCTTCTCGTTCCGTGCAAAAACACGGCCAGCGGCCACTGGCCGCCATGGACCGGTCGGTACCCGGTCGCCGCAAAGCGCTGGCCTTCAGCGGTGTAGTGGAGCTCCAAAGGCACCGGAAGCGCTTGCGCCACTGCCCAGAGCTGAAGGAGCCGAAGGCTCGGCATCGTCACACTAACAGCTGTTCCTGACCATATGTATATATATATATACATATACATATACATACACATGTATGTATATATATATATATACATATGTATACAGATGTGTACATATATCGAGCCGTAGATGCCGCTATCACAATTATGGGAGATTGGCGTTGGTTGCCGTCGTAATTGCAGCACGCTTTGACTCGTTGCTGCGGCACAAAGAGCAACGGAATCACAGAGCGAGATAGGCCGAAGTGTACCAGGCGCATCATGCCAGAAAGCCCGGCGACGAAGCTTCGGAGGCTGGGTCAAAGGGGTGTCGTGGTCTGCACCTCAGATCTCCCAACGGCTTTCGTGGAGCTGAGATCGGGACCGTCCATGGTATCTTGACCGAAATAGCAGATGACTATCGCCACCTGGAGACAATTTTTCTGGACTCAAGGAACTGCCCCGAAGTAGCACGGTCGTTGCCTCTTTGCTCGGTTGTGCTTGCTTTTTGAGCTGTGCCGCATGAGCTTAAGCGTGGACGACATAACACACCGATCGCACAGCTTGCTGCCATGACTGCCAGCTTTAGCCTTGTCCGCGCATAAAATAAGGGTCTACGTAGTTACCAACACTACGGCTGATGATATAAATCCTGCATTGCCCATAATTAGGAATATACCATAATCCCCATGGTTTAGGGTCCTTAAGGCAGGTAATGCAGGATTTATATCATCAGCAGTATTTTCGGGCACCTTATTATAATTGTGGTCTAAGATTCCCCAAAACCCTACTCTAATCATTATGGCCTCTGCAGTACCGTGCTGGGAGTCCGGACACCACAGGCCATGGCCAGGAGAGCGAGGAAGATGGATTGCGCCGAGTGCGAACTTTCACTGCGCGGGGCTTCACACGCAAGAATGCGGGGTGCTCGGCGTCGGGGAAGTTAAGGACATCTGCAGATCAGGAGCGGCTTTCGCGACGGATTGCTGCGATGACATGCTGCTGCTGCTGCTGCTGCTGCTGCTGCCACTGCCACTACTACCACGACCGCCACCTGCAACGACTTCTACTAGGTCTTGGAGCATGAAAGCCGCACAAAGCTGGCTCCTATCACGTTCACGATCCTGCTGGCTGTATGATGATTCCCTTTGCTTCACGTCTTGGTTGATGCATCTTGAGCAGCCTATGTCCTATGTAAACGCGACGATTCCGCAAGACCAAACCCTCACAGCAGTACCGCCATCCCCAATGCTACTGAAGACCTTGAACCCGAAACCCCTACCCCTACGAGTACCTCTAACGGGGCTAAACCTTTCCCTGTTGCCTCGGCTGGAAAGGCTGTAGTGGAACGGCTCCTCCATTAAAGGGTGGAGCTCCTGGTGCTGGCTGGACCACCTGAACACAGAAGAAGAGAACTCCAGGGTTGAGGCTTTATGCTTTGGAGTTAGGGATTGTGGTGTAAGGTTGGGAAAAGATCTAGGTTGTAGCACTAGGCTTCGGGGTCTAGGATTCACGGTGTGGGACCGTAAACGTTTAGCAGTTTATAGGGTTTGAGGTTACAAACTTGTCGCAAGCTCTCTGGTAATGGCTACGGGCGCACTCAAGCACTACTTCAAGCTTCCAGCTTTGAGGCTCAGATCACAAGAAGGCTGTGCCCTTCCGAGGCGTCAGGACGCAACATGGACGGTGGAAGGGGACCGAACAACTGTTTGCCGGGCTGCAAAGGGTTGGAGCCGAGGTTAAACTTGGTCTATGCATGGTGTCGGCATAGTGTTGATTATTAGTATCAGTGGCGCTCGCTCATCATTCTCAGATGTTCTTATTTTAAGCAGGGCTGTGGTGGTCGCAGCCTAGAGGCAGAGACAGCTCTCAATTCCCTTTGCGGCTTTTTAAATGGGTAAATCACTTTGCAACATTGGCACGACTCAACTTACATGGAGTCTTGACTTTAACAACATCCCTACAAAGCCGCTGCTCCCCAACGAGGCCTGACCATCGTGCGAAGGAGGACCTCAGCTCGAATCAAGGCCGCAGGCCGCTAGAGAATTTAGGCTTGCTAGGCTTAGGGTCTTAGAGTTTAGTGCGTTTTGGCTATAGCCCGTCTATTCTGCTCACGATGAGTCGAGAAGGTGAACGTTGGGTTCACCCCGATCTGCATTGCGAGGGTGGCAAGTGATCACGGATCTGCTGACTTTAGGGGAGAGGAACTACATGAATCCATCTGTTCGTGTGCCTCTACGTCCGTGTATCTGCGTGCATGTAATGGGCACTTAGATGCATAAACATGAGACAAAGCCCAGGACTGATCACAATTAACTTCAACTTAAGATTTAAGACCATGGCGCGGGAGTTCATGTAGAAGCCTGATTGATTACCAGCCCCTTCGTCAAAATGACCACAAGGACCACACAATTGCGGCCACCCATAACATTTCCTTTGCGTAAAGGTGGTTCAAAGATCAGCTTCAAATCCGACACCAACCCTAACCCTGCCCTTAACCAAGCGGCAGACTTGCCGTGATTGCCGTGTCTTGCAAGGAAGGTCCCGAAGACCAAACCCTAATCCCTGAACCTCAGACCCTAAGCCTGCAAAAACAACTACAGAAATCCTAGACGTCAAGAAGGAAGGACTGTACTACAGCAGGCTACACAGCAGGCCAACCACTGTGGGGCCGTTTGTACTCTACCTTGCAGTGCCCCGCCAAAATTCCTAGAACTACCAATACCCCTCGGCTCGGCCCGCAGCGAGGTGCGGGGCTGGCGCCCGTGTGCACCCCCTCCTTCGTGAGCACGTGCTGGACCTTCGGAGATGGGCTTTCTCATTGCTCACATGCTGTAGGGTTAAGGGTTCACGCATGTTAAGCTTACGGCTGCAAGGTTTGGGTAGGGTCAACCTGGGGGCTCTAGGGGTTGTAATTGTGTGAGATTGTTGGTCTTGAATCAGAGTTTTTGGGAACAAGTTCACCAGGCATTGGTCTTGCTAAGGCTGTCGGGGATTGGGATTTAGGTGTCGAGGTGAACTGCACCTTTGAATCACATGTCGTCGTGCATGCTGGACTTTTCACCATTAAGCCATGACAGCCTCGAACCCCGGGAGAATGCCAAAGCCCATCCACACATGGGACATACTATGCCTTGACAACTGCTCCAATCGAAGTTCCTCGTGTCAAAGAGATCTGGAAGCTGAATTACCAAGAAGAGGGCTTTGGGGCTGTTAACGACCAACGGCTACCAGAATTGCAGACCTGACTGTGGAGGCTACTACCCCCTATACGCATTGAAGCTCGTGCGCTGCTCTGCACGTGCACACTCCGGAGCTTGTGCAGTTGCCTCGTTGCGCTCATGACCTGCGAAGTCCTCAATGGAGAAGACGATGCGCTTCACGCCAACGAAAGTGCTCACCTGGGAGTTTGAGTGATGAGCCCAACAGGCGCGGAGGCCGTTGAAGCTGACATGCCGTCACGCTGTATAATTGTATAGGAGCCTCTTGAAAATGTCGGGGGAAGAGGATGAAGGGTGAGGCAGTCAGTTAGTTTGGCGGTCGGTCACCCGCTCGAAAGCTGAGTTACCCTGGCCACTGACTGGAGGGATGAAACGATGAGCAGCCGGCCAGATGCCAGAACACAGCCTGGCACGTCTTGACACAACAATGGGAGTTCAGAGCTGTTGGGCTCCCGGTGGCACGGTCATGTGCGAGTTAGGGTGTACGGTTTACGAATCACGACATACCTTCCTGGAAGCTCACACACACACACTGCAGCTTAAGGAGCAGTTTCGTTGAAACTGCGGCCTAGGCGTGTCACTACAGTGGCGTGCTGGAAAGGCTGGGATGATATAGACCCCAAATTGCGGAACCGCAAATCCCAACATGCGGCACTCGCACTGAATAGGCACGCACAGGTGATGCATAGCAGCATGGCACATAAGCGATTCACCACAATACCAACAGCAACATCATCGTCATCATAGACGTCGTTGACATCATCATGATCATGATCATGATCATCATCATCATCATCATCGACAATACAACAACAGGAACAACTTCTACTGCCTGCTTCCTGCTTCCGACTCGAACTCCGACTCCTACTCCTATTGCTGCTCGTAGTCCAAGTCCCAGTCCTGCTCCGGCTGCTACTGCTAGTACCACTAATACTACTACTGCTACTACTGGTACTTCTCCTACTCCTACTCGTGTAGGGCGTGCTATCTAAGGTACACTCGCGTTTTGCGTCCATGCACACTCGCTTTTTCATCTAAGGTGCAGTTGAGTTGCTTCCGTACCGTAAAACGGCTACGGTGCCCCTGCCGGGGCATTCCTCCTACCCTTGCCCTGCCCCTCCCCCACTACTGCTGCTACTGCTGCTACTACTACTACTACTGCTGCTACTTCTACTACTACTACTACTACTACTACTGCTACTGCTACTGCTACTGCTACTGCTACTGCTACTGCTACTATTACTATTACTATTACTATTACTATTACTATGACTATGACTATGACTAT